AAATGGAATTTTGTCTGTCATTGCTAGAGGGTTAGAGTTTAAAAACAAGGAGGCTATGCTGTAGCTGTATAGGGTCCTGGTGAGGCCACACCTGGAGTACTGTGTGCAGTTTTTGTCTCCTTATTTGAGAAGAGGTATACTAGCACTGGAGGGGGTGCAGAGGAGATTCACTCGGTTGATTCCAGAGCTGAGAGGGTTGGATTATGAGGAGAGACTGAGTAGACTGGGATTATACTCATTGGAATTCAGAAGAATGAGGGGAGATCTTATAGAAACATATAAGATTATGAAGGGAATAGATAAAGTGGAGGCAGGGAGGTTGTTTCCGCTAGCAGGTGAAACTTGGACTAGAGGGCATCGCCTCAAAATAAAGGGAAGCAGATGTAGTACTGAGGTCAGGAGGAACTTCTTCACCCAAAGGGTTGTGAATCTGTGGAATTCCCTGCCCAGTGAAGTGGTTGAAGCTACCTCACTGAATGTTTTTAAGGCAAGGCTCGATAAATGTTTGAACAGTAAAGGAATTAAGGGTTATGGTGAGTGGGCGGGTAAGTGGAGCTGAGTCTCAAAGATCAGCCATGATCTTATTAAATGGTGGGGCAGGCTCGAGGGGCCAGATGGCCTACTCCTGCTCCTAGTTCTTATGTTATAAGGTTAGGCTGGATAGGCTGGGACTTTTCTCCTTGGACCATAAGAGACAGAGCGGTGACCTTACAGTGGTTTATAAAAGCATGATAATGTGAATAGCCAAGTCTTTTCCCCAGGCTTCAGGAATTCCAAAATAAAAGGGCATAGGTTGAAGGTGAGAGGAGAAAGATTTAAAAAGGACACGAGGGGCAACGTTTTCACAAAGAATGGTGCATATGTGCAACGAGCATTCCGAGGAAGCAGTAGAGGTAGGTACAATTACAACATTTAAAAGAGAATTGATCCCTGGATAGGAAAGGTTTAGAGGGATACGGGCCAATTTCAGGCAATTGGGATCATTCTGTTTATGAAACCTGGTCGACATGGACAAGTTGGGCCGAAGGAATTGTTTCTGTGCTGCAGACCTCTATGTCTGTCGGTCTGTCTTGTCATCGTGTGCGCTCGCTCTCTCCTATGCGCGCACTGCCACTCCCTGTGCTCGTGTGCACTCTCTCTCTCTCTCTCTCTCCATCCCCCCACCTGCTGGCCCTCTCTCCCCTGTGCACCCGTTCTATCTCTCCCGTGGCCATCCCACGAGCACGTGCCCACTCACCCATGTTCCCTCCCTCCCCCCTTCTTTCTCTGCTGTGCCCTTTCTGCCCTCCCACTTTCCCATGCTCACGCTCTCTTGCCCGCATGATCCTTCACTCTTGCGCGTGCACTATGTCTCGTGTCACCCTCGCTCTTGAGGTTCAGTTTCACTCAGACATTGATGTTTTTATCTTTGGTGATTCAGTCATTTCCTTACATCAGTTGCAGACATGCAATGCAATTGTATGATGGGTGTTTTCCCTGAGATTGGCAAGGCCTGGCTCACCATCGACAGTGACATCTTCATGTGGAATTATGAAGATGGGTAAGTAGAGTACTCAGCAGGAATGGCCTGTCTATGGGCTTTGTTGGGTAGCTCAAGTCACAAATCATACAGGAATGAAAGCCAAGGAGGTGACATAATGTTTGTATTGGAGTTAATTCACATTAAGCAGTGCTGCTTCCTACAACAATTAAGTCATTTGAATCATTGAAGCAAGTGCCATTATCAGGTAAAACTAAACAAGTTAGGCTGGTTTGCTATTTGCGTAAAAAAACTGGAAGACCTGCTCAGGCCTTTCCAAATAATTAGATTGAAGTGGTGGAGCAATACTTTCCTCCTGTGAGTGAGTCTAGAACAAGACAGCTTAAAGACAAGATGAAAACAATAAAAAAACTTAGGAGGAATTCTGTTATTTGGAGAATGAAGAGCTTGCCAGTACAAGCAGTCACTGAGGAAGGTGATGGTGAAATTAGGAGCAGGAGTAGGTCATTTGACACATCAAACCATCTCTGCCAATCAGTATGTCATTCAGTATTATGTTCCCACTTTCTCTGTATATTTCGATCCTTTTAGGCCTAAAAACTGCATCTAACTCTTGAAATCATGCAATGTTTGTCTTCCCACTTTCTGGCTGAGAATTGCTCAGGCTACCATTCTCTGGGTGAAAAATTTCACCCGGGGGAGGCGATGGCCTAGTGGTATTATCGCTGGACTGTTAATCCAGACACCCAGATAATGTTCTGGGGATCCGAGTTCGAATCCTGTCACAGCAGATAGTGGAATTTGAATTCAATGAATATCTGGAAATAAAAATCTAGTGAAGTCAGTGTTGACTGTTAGGAAAAACCCATCTGGTTCATTAACGTCCTTTAGGGAAAGAAACTGCAATCTTTACCTGGTCTGGCCTACATGTGACTCCAGACCCACAGCAATGTAGTTGACTCTGAACTGTCCTCTGGGCAGTTAGGGATGGGCAATAAATGTTGGCCGAGCCAGCAATGCACTTATCCTGTGAATGACGAAAGAAAAAGAAAATTTCTCCTTTCACTCCTAAATGGACTGTTCGAATCCTTAGAATGTGACATCTGATTCTAGACTAGGCTAGAAACATGGACGGAGAAATGAATTTAATCCAAAATGCAAGGTGATGCATGAACATACTGAGGGTTCTAACATACAGGTCCACAGTTCCCTGGAAGTGGCAACTGAAGTGGATAAGGTGGTCAAGAAGGCATATGGCATGCTTGCATTCATTGATGGGGCATAGACCAGTAAAACTGACAAATCACGTTACAGCTGTAAAAAACATTAGTTTGGCCACATTTGAAATATTGTGTACAATTCTGATCGTCACGCCACCGGAAATCTGTGGAGGCTTTGGAGATGGTACAGAAAAAGTTTACCACGATGTCACCTGTTTTGGAAGGTATTAACAATTAGGAGAGATT